AATATCGGTTTTATCTAAGTCCAAACCCACTTGAACAGTAGGATAGATGTCTAAGAGATCAATCCTCCAATAAAGTGAATCATCGATGTTTTTCTCAGTCAACTTACTAGTATCCACATCGGAAATAAGCTGTCCATCCACATAATGAGCAATCATCGATGTTGTTTCTGAATCATTTATTAAATCCAAATCAAGTATGAGGAATTTTGCACCTTTCTTATTTGAAATCATGCCAAGAAAACGTTGAATTTTTTTTTCGAGTTCATCCTTATCTTGTAATAATAGATTGTTAATATTTAATACATACATATGACCAATGTAGACTTTTGTTAACATTTCACCACGTTTAAGGCATACTACATCTTGTATTTGTAGTCGCTTGATAGGATCAATCTTATTTTGAAGTCATAATGTTTGAGCAATAAATACTTCTGTATCATTGTCTAATTGTTTACGATCATCTTTCAAGAGATTTTGAATGTCTTTCTTTTGTCATATCGTCGAATGAAGACAATGAATGATACTTTTCAACGAGAGCGGCAAGATTTTGGCGAAATCGATCTACAGAGTGTCCCAAAAGTTAATTTACACTTCGTAGTGTACACATTGCACACATTCGAAGACTGTATGTAATTATTCATTAATTGTAATTTATAAATCATTTTTTAGTCTCTGTAAGATGTCCCAAGCGTGCGTTCGACAATAAGTAACGATTTATGAATAATGAACAATGAAAAAACAATTTTCAAATCTACCACAATGTGTGCAGTGCGAAGTGTAAAGTGACTTTTGGGACATCCTATAGCATACTGATCATTCTATTATTATTCACTGATACTTTTAGTAATGATTGTTCAATTTTTATACTGATCATTTGTTCTTTATAGTGATCATTCATCTATTTTTTACTAATCATGCAATCTATTTTACTAATCAAATACTATGTTTCCATAAAAAAGATCTTAAAAGTATTTAAAACATATAAATCGAGTCAGTTATTAATGTTAATTCCGAATATGATATTAGTTTTGACTCAAACTGTTATTTGCTAACCTAAAACCAATAAATATCAGTTAACAAAGTGAAGAGTCACCGCCAGAGAACAGGATATTTACGCATTTCTCAGGTGATTTGGCGCTACGTACACGACATTAATAATAATTTCTTTTCGCTTTTCGAATCATTCTGATAAGTTCTTCACTTCATTTAAGCTAGTAAAGGCGCAGTATTTTTCATCGTTTGAATGATCTATTTATATTGACACTATTTTTTTGCGTCTTACACTGTTGCTTGTTTGTTTTCCAGATGACTTGCTTCCTACTTTGGCAGCAGGGCAATACTTTCCGTTCGGCTTTTGTTTCTTATTACTACTCTTTTTTCGTTTTGTTTTTCGAATAAGCACTCTCTGAAAAAAAAACTGCACATGACAAAAGTAAAACATTCACAAGTACAGTTGGCAACAACTGGCGGCCCAGAAGCAAAAAATACTATACTTGTTCGATGAAATTCATTTCATATGAAGTATACAAACCGATCTTCATTTCTCTATGATGTGAGATGGTTGGAACTGTTCAAAATTAGATAATGGCTAACATGAAAACATTTCGTACCATCTCTATTTGATAACTAGATCATTGATACTTAATAGAGCACGACTATTCCAAAAAGATTCTTGCATTTTACTTCATGTTAAAATAAATAAAACTTTCACTATCATGAACATGTGACAAATTTTTCTTAAAGCTAAATACAAAGATTCAGAATTTTCAATATAATTTACTTTTTTGAATTGAAATGGATATTTCAGAAGATTTTATGTTTCATCTTATTTCTCGATAAAAAAAAAAGGAAAGAAAATAGCATAGCTTGTTCATTCTGTCTTCCACTGTAAAAGTATGTATCTTTACAAAGAAATATTTATAACAAAAATTGGTCTTTCTTTACCCAAGTCTTACGAGTAAAACTAACCTTCTAAGATAGTTCAATGTAAATAAAAAGATCGAAATTTAGGTATGGGCTGCTTTAAATTCTGGTAGATATAGAGGATGCATCAAAACTATTCAACGACGCTTATTTCCAATTCTTTTCTCCTGTCGTAAGCGCTAGCAAGATTTCAAAAAGCAATTCAAATAGAGAAAACTGTCTCGAAAAATAATATAAGAAAATAAAAATTTTTCTATGATGTTTTTTTGGCTGAGAGATAGTAATTTTATTGAATATTAGCAAATGACTTTTCTACAGGAAATAGTAGCAAAACAACTTGAAGAACTTCCGCGACTTTGCTGTATATCAGCTAAAAACATTGCGTAAAATTCTGATTTGTTATTGATTTTCGTCATGCACTCACAAGATGCTCTTTATCGCAAGACAACACATACGAATAGTGCGATTAAATAGTGAATATTGATAGTGTAGCTTTATATACTGAATACGAAATTTCAATAACTTTCATTAGATTATTAATGTTTAATTATTCGAATTCTTTAAAACTCTTTTACATAATATCAGCAATCATTTAATTTTTAATTAGGTATATATAATAACTCTGGCAGTCTTATTTGTCCTTATTATCACCACTCTATAAGATACATAAAAGTAAGAATGATTATTTATTTTTCAAAAATTATACAAATAAAGTTGAGAATCAATCCGCTCATGTTCACTGGAAGATACATTTTCGTACAGATGTCTCTGTTATACAGAACAAATATTGTAATCAGATTGGTTTATCGTAGTATTCCCTTAACCTCCTTCAATTTTGATCAGCTGTTGGTTGTATAGTTTCCTATCCTTACGAATTTCTTTCTATTTCAAATTATTCAAAACGAAAATTTTTCTAATGTCTACAATCTCTTCTTTATCGTCTAGTCATCCGATTGCATTACAATTTTCAACTTATCCAAATACTCAACTAGTCGTATGTATTAATCCGTTACATGAATCTAAACAAGATACGCTACCAACATCATTGATTACACCAACAAGTTCAGACTTATTTGATAATGATGACAAATCTTCTGACAATAATGTACAAGCATTTATTCTTCGACTTTGTCATCAAAGATCACGATTAACACGATTGTATGATTTAGAAATCGAACATCGACAATCAACATCACAATTAATTACCTTTCTTGATAAAATTGATCAATTACTTAATGAATATGAAAATCACAAATCTAATAATCTAATTACAGGCAATCACACTAAAATATTTATGCGAAAACTCATAGTTTTTGTTTTTTCTGTTGAATTTTCAGGTGATACTACAAACACTAATAAACCTCTAGATGATGAATCATATTCAACCTATTTTAATGGTAAGTAAATATTGTCAAAAAAATTCTTTTGATAGATAGAAAAGATAATTTAATAAATTTAGATGTTTCTTCTCTCAATGATTCTAATGACGTCGATGCAAATGAGTTACTTGTTGAACAAGCTTCAAAGCAATCTGAAAGACTTTCAAATAAAATACATGATGACACAATGATTTATGAGCAAAGTGCACATGCAGATTAGTCAGTAAACTTAAAAGCCTTTGTTTTTCTTTGAAATGAATAAGTTTATTTTTCTTATAGTGATGATCATTCTTATTCAAAAATAAGTCGAAATAATAAATTGCCAACAAAAAAATCCACAGTAAATAATTCTTTGTTTTTTTCTTATTGAATGAATGTTTTCTATAGATACTTCAACTTAAACGTTATAAATACGAAGGATGCTGTCCATTAACAACACGTACTTATGGTCTTGATCCAATCAAACATGGTATTCGTCATTTTCCATGTACACGTGTTACAGCACCAATTAATCTTTGTAATAGTTAATTTTCATTTAATTTTTTTTTTAATGAAATTTATTATTAGATAAACATTTAATACAATATCATCAATTAACACATTCACCAACAATGCAAATTGTACGATTACTTGCTGATGAAAATGAAGAAGGTGATATTGATTTATTTTCATCTCAATCAACAAGTCTTATTGCAACACATCCAACTGTTTATCGTGCACAATGTCCATTAAATCAATACGGAAAATTTGGTATTACAGCTGAACATAGAATTCGTTTATGCACACAACCTAATCAACCAATTGGTGCACCATTAATTACACCAAAAGATGTTTGTTTATACGATCATTTTGGTTAGTATTAACTTAGCTAAATAATACCAAAGAAAATATAGTGCAAAGCTTTCGTTTGAATTTCTATTCATCATAAGTACAGACATATGTGCAAATGTTTTCAAGAACTTGTAATCTAAGAAAATTTAATTGATTTTTTTCATTTGTTTGACAAATTCATACAAAACTGACTGAAAAGAGATATGTAATGAATATCATGTTTGTTTCTCAGCAATATCTAGTTAATAAGAGAAAGATTGTGACAAGATTAAGACGCAAGGTTTCATCGGATTTTTTGCTCGGCAGTTCTGAAAAACATGTTCGGCTTCTCTTCTCAAAAATCTTCTAATTATCCTCTTGGCGATCTCGAAATATCAACTGAATATTCTTCTTGATTGATTAATCAATTATGTTGAACTTCCATCAAATTGTTGAACGATGATTTTTGTTTTCTCTATTTAAGTTGTATATCATCAAATGAAACGTTCATGTGCTCAACGTTTAGCTGAAGCTATTGTTAAAAATAAAACTGAACCGGTATTTCGTCCCGATGAACAATTATTAAATGATACATTCTACATTCAATGTCCTTTACGACATCCGAAAGCTATTTGTTGGAAATCACCGATCTCATCTCGTCATATGGGTCAACATTTAACTGGTATACATAAACTTGATGGAATAGCAAGACGTCAAATAATGATGACACTTCGAAAACAACCATCATCATCCGATACAAAATTACCTAAAACAACTTCTTTTTAATATTTTTTTTTGTTGCTTTGCATAATCTATTTTAAATCAACTATGAGCAGTATTTTTTGTTCCATGATATATATATACATATATATATATTTATTTTTAGATATGTCATCAATAAATAAAAATGAATATCGACAAAATGCATCCCCTGATGATGATGATGATGATGATGATGAGAATGATGAAGAAAATTTTAATGATGAACAAGAAGAAGAAATAAATATACTCGAACAAGTACAAGGATTGTTTTCATCAGATATATTTCCAAATGTGATAGAAATGTTTCGAGCTTATCAATCACAATTTGATCTTGTCGAATTTCTTAAAACACATCAAATTGTTTCTCAATATGATTATATTCGATTAATTAATTATATTCGTCTCGAAGTTAGTTTTAATTTAAATATTTCTTAATCAATTTTCTTTATCTATGTAGAAACCTTCAATGGACGATTTAAAACAATTAAAACCATCGACATCACCACCATGGGCAGATGATAAATATTTCACGACTGTTATTGATAATGATCCAGCTTTACAATTTGGTAATAGTAATAAACAAAACTAATAAATTTTATCTCGACTTTTCTGTGAAACACAATCTAGAAAACCTACTATAAGAGATAGAAAAAAACCAATATTCCTGTGATCATCAGTAGCACTTACATTGTGTTTCACATTTTAGTGTGACAAAGATTTTCCTAACAGTTTTCTTTTCGTGTTTAAGATATTGAAGAAGATTTAAATCAACTTGGTGATTTGACCATATCAAAAACTATTCACGAAAATGATCAGTTAATAAAAGCTAATCAAAGAATTCGAGAATTAGAAGAAATGGTTGAAACATTAAAGTAATTTAAAAAGTTCTTTTCTTTTTATTCTCAAAGAAATTATTTCATATTTTTTGATAGATCGATGACATCTCGATTATTAGATGATCAATCTACCGGTGTAACAACAACATCAAAAGCAAAAACTAAAGATGATATTCAAGACGATGATTATTTTGCTACATATAATCATTATGATATTCATAAAGAAATGCTTCAGGTATGGTAAGTAAAAGGATTGATGAATTTCTATTGTTTTGAATTTTATCATTATTCTAGGATAAAATTCGTACGGAAAGTTATTTAAAATCAATAAAAGAAAATGTGGATGTATTTCGTAATAAAATTGTATTAGATGTTGGATGTGGAACGGGTATACTTTCTATGGCATGTATTAAATATGGACAAGCAAAAATGGTTATAGCTGTTGACATGTCAGATATGATTTATGATGCTATGGCTATTGCTAAGTAATTTTTCTTTGTTTGAAATAAAGTATTAAAAGAAAAAAAAAACAAGATGTTTTTATTTTGTCTAGAGAAAATAATATTGATGAATCGAAAATTGTTTTTATTCATGGAAGAATTGAAGATGTGAATTTACCTGTTGACAAAGTAAAGAATGAATTTTATTCATTTTAGAAATTAAATTTTTAGATCTTTTTAAAAAGGTTGATATTATCATATCTGAATGGATGGGTAAGATAAGAATATGTTGAGAAGAAATATTTACTCTAAATAATAATTTTTTCAGGCTATTTTCTATTGTTTGAATGTATGTTGGAATCGATTATCTTTGCTCGTAATATGTATTTAGACAAAGAAAATGGTTTGGGTAAGTTATCTATTTATTTATACGAGTAAATAAGTCAAGACTAGAACTATACGGAACCAAGTTTTTTCTCTCGATTCCGAAGTTGAAAAAATCATTCTAGAATTTATGTGTATCACATCTAAAAAAAATTCATCAATATTCGTTTTTTGCTTTATTTCGTCGACGACTAGCTGCTTTTTTCCCCTTTCACAGGGATTAAAATTGCTTCTCCAAACATCTTGTCTATGTTTCCAAAAAGCGAATAATTTACTTCTAAGAGATTTTCGTTAATCAACGATAATCGTAATGAAGTTAAAGTACCAATTGATACAATGTGTTTGTTTCGATTCAACAAGTCATTCGAGTTATCTTTTTCTTATTGTTTTTATAAGCATTACAATAATTTGACTTCATTAACAATCAATGCTAGTTCGAACCCGGCAGATTATAGTGTAGAGATTTTACTCAATTCAATCGAAATATAATTTTATAAAAACTTTGAGATTAGACATATATAATTTTTTTTTTCATGTCTTGAAATATCTCATTTTTAGTATTACCTGATGATTTTTCCATACATATGTCGGGTTTTCATTCGGATAATCTTTATCATGAACATATTGGTTATTGGTCAGATGTTTATGGTTTTGAAATGAATACTGTTGCAAAAAATATTCTTGTTGATGGTCATGTTATGATTGTACCAGCAAATGCTATCATGACTAGTGATTGCTGTATTAAAGTAAATTGAATAAACTTCTTTTTTTTTCTTCAATATAAGCTTATTTTTAGACGTTGGATATTTATACATGTTCAAATGATGATATTACTTTTACACATCCATTTACTGTTCAAGCACTTAAATCTGGTTCTATATCAGGTTTTGTTTGTCATTTTGATGTGAATTTTGCTAAGAATCTTATTGAAAAGGTAATATATTGCCTTAAAAACCAAAAACAATTAAGTTTTTGCTCTACATGTTTTTCTTATTGGACTAGTAGCGAATATTTATTTTCTGATTTTTCTAGGTGCATTTTTCTACATCACCTCGATCACCAGATACTCATTGGAAGCAGACAGTATTCTTTTTACCTCGACTATATAATGTTCAAGAAGGTGAGAAGAATATTAATTATTTAATATAGATACATGTTTCTAAATAATTTATTTTATTAGGTGAAGAAATAACTGGAAAAATTTCATGTCAAAGACATCCAAATGAAAAACGTGGTCTTGTTATTCATTTACATGTATTCGATTCAAAATTTAAATTCTATCTAGAATAATGAATTTTGTTCGATTGTTATTCTTAATTTTTTTTTCTTTTGTTTGTTGTTGAAAAGAAATAAAAAAAGAAACATCAATTAGCGGGGATCAGAAGAAAAAAGACAATATTTTAATAAGAAGTTTCTTTGTGCAATAATGTTTGAAGTATAAGCGAAAAAAAGAATATGATTTCTTTGTTTGTTGTCATGGCATAGAGATTTTTCTTCAATTTTATATCATTTGATGTTATTTTTATAAAGAAAAAGACCTTCTGGGTCTATTTTTTTAAACTTGCTTTGATAGTGATTGAAAAGTAATTGTAATACATTTGAATAGAAAGACAAAAGGAACAGATGTGATGCTTTATTGTTCTTTCTTTTTTTGCATTACTTCCAATGGTCACCTAACAAATAAAATAAAAGTAAGAAATAACCGACAACGGATGCTGAGCTCTTATACTCTAAAACCTACTTATTTTACAGAACAATTATAACATTCGTTAACAACACCTTTCCTTAACGACATCCATCGACAATCAAATTCCAACTACGTAGTAGTAAAGATAGAAAACAAAAAAAAAATTCATAAGTAAATAGTTCGACAGTGCTGATGTAGAAAATTTATTTGTCACTAAAAAAAACTTTCTTATTTTATTATTGATCTTTGCGTCAATAAAAAAATCTATCACTTGTAAAATACTCATTTCATCGTATTTTTATTTGTTTAATTGAAACTTTATATCTGCTCGTTTCTAACAATATAATAAAATAAATTTATTTCACTATGCATGAACGAAATCTTTCTTTTTCTTTTTTCTTTCTTACCTTCTTTTCGTCTTAAGGGATTTTTTTCTATTTGGATGAAAAAAAAATCTGTATTCCATTTGCTTCATCATAGAAACATATTGATCAGCACTGTGCTTTGTTGTTGTTGTAGCCGTTGCCAGTTCTCTTTTTCTTCAATTTATTTTTGTATATGAAGTAACGATATATCGATCAGATTGATTGCCAACGAGTCATTGTAGATGTTTGAATAGGCCTCTTCGTTTATTATATGTTTAACATTGTTGAAAATTATCAATCATTAATATTAATGTCTATTTCTTCTAGATTTTGGTTTACAAGGTATTCAATTAATTTTTCAAATAAATGTATTGAAAATTATGAGTGACAACGAAGATACAACAACAAAGCCTCCATCAACAACACTTGGAGCAATGGGTCTTCTGGCCAATAATCCGTTAGTTGCAGGTTCAAGTAAGACAAGATTTTTTAATTTTAGAATTTTTCTTGAAAATTTTTATTCTTAAGGCGAATTACAACATACAGAGTCCACAACAAATATGAATAATGATATTAGTAAAGAACCAAGTAATGATGATTTTGGTAATGAAGATAATGAAAAAAAAACGAATGATCTTCTTAATGATTTACAATCAGAATCAATAACACCTGATGATAATAATGTTCTTTCTGGAAGAGCAATTACATCTGGTCGTTTAACTACTGATCAAGATAATAGCTCGACACCGAATATAATTGATCCATCAGTCAATCATATTAATCAAGCTCCGAGACGATCCATGAGTGAATCAGTTCTTATTGATCATCATAATCCAATTGAAAAACCACCACCATTACCTATTCAACAAGATGAAAGTTCAACTGATGGTGACGATCTTGGTAGTGTTCAAACAAGAACAAATGATACTGGCAATGATGATTCCATTAATCAATATCGACAAGATTTATCAACAGAAGAACAAGAAAATAATACAAATCGTACATTCGATAATGATTCTTTGCATTCAAAAACAGAACCTATTATTGATAGTAAACGACCATCAAGTGCAACGAAACATGATATTCTTGATGAAACAACCCGTTTTGCTACGACATCACCTAAACCATCAACATCAAGAATACAATCTGCATCTAGTAAACGATCAGTATGTATTATATAAAATAAGATTTATTTAATTTTAAATTAAATAATTCTTTTTAAAGCAACCAATTGTTGAGGATGAAAAACGAGTTACATTACCTGATGAAACTAGTTTCAATACAGATGGTAATAATCAAGAGGTCGCATCTATGATTCGACCTGCATCACGAGCTAAATCACATTCATCAACATCTGATGATTTACATAAAACTGTGATAGATGTTGAATCTCAACGACCACAATCACCATTTGTTGGTGAACAAGCTCAACCATCATCACGAATAACAAGTCCACAAATAACAAAAAGTGATACAAATATATTAACTATTGATCAATCATCTCCATTAAATGATCATGACGAGGAACAAAAACAAACGCTCGAACCATCAACAGCTACAATATCATCAGCGTCAAGACGAGAAAGTACAGATAAATTGGATCAACAACAATCATCTCGATCATCAAGTGCTATTAAATCAAGAGTTAATGATAATTCTGAAGAATCATCAACAACGAAATTAAATAATGATTTCATAGCAACAAATGAACAATCAAAATTAATAAAACTTGGCGAACAACTTCAAATACCAACAAATGATATTGATAATGAACAAATCAATAGTCCACCACCATCTCCATCAGGTATTAAACAAATAGTATCAACAAATCCTGTCTTAGAAAGTAATCTTGTTACAACAGATCAAGATCGTTCTCGAACACCAAGTGAAACAAATCGTAAAAGTTTGACATCAACGTCAATTAGCAATGAAAAAGTTATTGATGGTGATGTTGTCTCATCAAAAAGTCGACGAAGTAGTACTACAAGTCAACAACAACGACAAACGACTGTTACTGATCAAAAATTGAATTTATCGTCAAGTCGTACAGGAAGTAGTGCATCTGAACAGCGAGTTTCTAGTAAACGAGGAAGTATTACTAGCGAACGAAAACCTATTAGTCGACAAAATTCATTGGATCAACAAAGAAAAACACCATTGAGGTTTAAAATAAAAAAACAAGGAGGTTTTATTTTCTAAATTAGATATATCATCTTTTTTAATTTCTAGCCAATCATCTAGTCGAAAAACAAGTTTAAGCGAACAAAAACAAGTTCCTAGGTGTGTATAACATACAGTCCGATTAGTACGTTTTATTTTAACGTATATCCACTGTATAATACAGTTAAAACTGAATGAATATTGATTTCTTTTTGCCCTTAAATTTTTAGTGGTCGAAAAAGTGAACAGCAATCAGCTACGGGCCGTGAGAAACAAATATCTAGGTTTAATATTTAAAAAGAGATGTTTTTAGTTGTTACAGTGTAATCTTATTTTTTATCTAGTTCTCGTCGTGCAAGTTCTACAAAACCAGAACCAACAATTACTAATAATGATACCAGAGACAGTCGTCGTTCATCAACAGATACTGATGTTCCTCTTCGAACATCAGCTAAACAAAAACAAGAACGTATTTTATCAACTGATAAACGACAATCATCATTACGTCAACGTTCTGGACAACAATCAATAACAACAGATCAAACTGTAGTTACTCCAGTAATAGTGGATTCAAAACAATCTCAACAACAAAATGGAAAAGTAAATTAATAGGAATTGACCATTTTATTATTTCTTGGTTTGTTTTCTTTGTTTTTTAAGCGTGCATCAATTACAGATTCTGATTATGAACAGTTAAATACTTCAAAATTACCACGAGTTAGTTCAACATCACAACAAGATAACTTTCATCATTCCGCAGTTAAACAAGCATCATCATCAGAAACAACAACACCTAGAGAAAATAATCAAACATCACAATGGACTAAAGCTCTTGTTCCACCAATTCAAGTGACTGATGATGAAACTCCATTATCAAGACCACAATCACCAAATCCTCAACAAATCGCTGAACATAATCGAATTTCAGCAAAAAATAAAAAACGAAATACTAGTAAATTAGAATTTGCTTTTTAATTAAATTTTTAATTAAATTTTCTTTTCAATTTTAAGATGAACAAAAAAAGAAAGAACAAAATCGATCATTACATCGAAGTAATAGTGCTGAATCGTCTAATTATATTCCACTTGTTGATGATAAATCAATCGATTCGACATCGGATGTTAATACAGAATATGGACAACAAAAACAACGGCGTATTAAATCGAAAAAAAGAGATGTTGAAACTAATACGGATCAAAGGATAGATTCAAAAAAACAAGGTGAGATTACTTTGTCACTTTTGTAAAGCAAGATCTAAAACAAGTGTTGAAGTGTAGTAGCGGTAAATATTTGGATCTCTTCCTCACGAACGTGACAGTTGTCAATATATGATCACTGGAGCCTTTCAGAACAGTTCAAAATTCTGTTTGTACCATCTGACGGAACAATCCTTTAAATAAATAATAGGAAAATGAACTAGACTATCACTCAATCAAAACTCGAGTAGAAAAATCCGCTGACTATACGAGCCCGAAAATTGTTCGAATGCGATCCTATCCTACATTTGCTAGTTCTAATTCTTAAACTTTCATAGAGAAAATCATAATAAATTCTGTTTGTACTCAGCTATCTGGCTTCAGTTGACAAGTCAAAAGGCAATAAATTTGAAATAAGTATTCTGCATAACGTCTGATACACTAATGATCTTTTCAGAGAGAGTTATATATGATCATATCAAGAAACTCTCAGTTGTTAATTATCGTTGTTTTGCATTTCGATAGCCCCGAAATAGAATCGAGTTTTTAAAAAACAAATTTCAAATAGACTTTTGGTACTCTATTTGCGTCATCTTTTGCTTGAAAAAAATATACTTTTCATTTTTTTTGATCGTGGAATACAATATTCTTGAAGGAATTTCATCGCAACCAATAGCTTCTTTTTCTGTTTGCAAAAGTATGAAAAGCTGCAGAACTCGTTTTTTGAATTAAGCTATTTTACTATTATTATTGTATAAAAAATCACTTCTATAAATAAAGGACTACTTGAGAGTTTTTCGACGTATTGAGCTTGTTATGCTTTTTCTGCGCATAAGATGTAAGAAAATAAAAAAGAACTTTGTCAGAGACGCTTTTGCAAATAAAAAATATTGGCTATACAGAATGAGGATCCACAGGTAGTTTTGAGTTGCTAAGGGGACTATTTGCGATAAATGTATTTTGAAAACATCATCGTACAGAGCTGAAAATTTCATGCGATTTGAATGTACTTGTGCCAAGATTGATTTGTAAAGGTGAAGTCTAAATAAATGTATGAATCATTTATTTTTTTAAACAACAAAAATTATCGATAGCTCAATTTAAAACATTTCTATGATATTGTCCAGCAAAATTTTAATTCTCATTTTCTAGAATCAACTCTTCAAAAACCTTTAAAAGCAACTAAACCAATATCGGATCATCTTCAAAGCACAAATCGTCGTTCTACAACAAAAGAACGAACTTCAACATCAACACCTGATACAGAACTTGATTCCAATAGACCTATTGTTCCACGTTCAGTTAAAAAATCCACTAATGATAATGAACCAGTTAACGTTAATGTAACTGTTCTTGTTAAAAATTTAACTGATCAAGATAATAATGAAATGTCTCAAAAACCACAAAAGAAACAAAACATAATTAAATCATCAACCGATTATGATCGCCATACACAATCGGATACTGAACAAATTATAACTGAAAAACAAAAGAAACGTCGTCGACCTAAACGTATATCACGTACAACACAAACATATGAATGTGTTTTTCGACGTATGGAACGTGAACAACATGAAGAATTACGTCCAACAAATGATACAGATAAAAATATTCAAACACGAAAATCACAATTATGTCCAAGATCAAAATCACCAAGAAAACATTATCCAACTTATATATCAACTGATGCATTCAAGTTGTTTTATTTCTTCTTTTTCGCTCGTCCTTTTTGTATTTCTAAGTAATAGTATTATTATTTTTGTTCTAGAATTGAAGAAATTCTACCAAAACAATTTCCACAAACTCAACGTAATGCATCAAAAACATCAATGGTTGCTCGAACTATTTCACCACAAAATGGTAAATTATTAATTCTTCGTCCAACACTTCCTTTTCATCATACTGATGCTGTTAATGTACAACGTGTATGTCTTCAATATGCTATTGATTTAATTCCTAATGAAAATAAATTAAACGATTCACCATATGCGCAACGAAATAAATCACACGCTCTTAAACAATCCGAACAAACAACTAATTTACCTATGATACGTTCATCATCACCAGCAACAAATATGCCAACAAATAAATCAAATACTAAAGATAAACCAACTTCGAATAGAATTGAAGATCGTATTCATCAACGTAAAAATGGTGGTGCTGTTTGATAATATATCTATAGATAAATCCAATTTAATATTTAAAAAAACTATTTAGCTAAGCGTGTCTGTGTTTGATTTTTATATACTTATAATTTCTTTTCAAAAAAAAACAAATATTTTAAAATAAATGAAAAATATTCAAAAATCAAAAATTGAATTTTATTAGATTTGTCGTGATATACGTATATTTTCAAGGGATGTACTACAAGGTCTTGGTGATATAGTGTACGCTATAGAGAATCGAATATGATCAAATAATGATTGATAAGTCGAGTTTATATCAACTAAATATTGTATTTATTAGAAGATATCGTTCACGAATCGCTCGAAGCCAATTAAACAATAATTCAAAACCATGTATTAGTGAGTTGTATTCAAAACCAAATACCATATTTCGTTTGTTCATCGGTATAAATATCTATCTATTCAAAGCTTTGTTCATGGTAATCTGGATAACGTATTGGTGAATCAACTAATTTCCATAATTGAATACACTTATTGAATTTCAGCATAATCCATTGGTTTTGTTTTGCTCTTTTACAGTAGTCAGTACATCAATATAAAAAGAATTATATATCTTATATCCTAGACACGAACTAAAATCTGCTTCAACTACCATGAATACGGTAGATTCTCCTTCAATAGTAACAGTAATAATTAGAAATAATTTCAACATAGATGTTTTTGTCAATAACGAAAACTAAATGATTGATAAAATATAACTTAGTTTTCGCGTAAGTAATCATGTAATGTTATGTTCAATTACCCGTTTAATAAAATAAAAAGAAAACAATAAAACGTCTATTGAATTTTACTTTCATCTGAATGAATGAAGTGCCTAAAGGAAAATTTCATTTTGGATATTTAATCGAAAGATACAATATAAAACATTATTATATGACCACATTTGATCTCAATAAAAGGAATCGCGCCCATTTCCAAAGTTTCTCAAACCAAAAAAACTAAAAAACGTTCCGCTTTTTCAGCCGTAATAAGTCCGATAGAAATGATACTTATCTTAGAGATACTAGATACTGTTTGGAGTGCCTACTTTTTTTTCGGTTTGTTTTTATCTTCTCTCATTCAAGTAAAAAGATAAAAATGCTGAGCGTGCCTCCAAAAATACATGGTTTTTTTACTAGAGCGTTTTTTTTTGTAAGTTCAACGTTGTAATTTTTTCAAAACAAAAAAATAAATAGGCATTCCCAACAGTATTGAGCACCTGTAGAAAAAAGTTTCAGGCTACATCGGACATACTATGTCGGAGGAACGGAGCAGACTTAAGACTGGTTTTTGGGTAAAAATTGATTTCGAAAAAAGCGAAAAACAAATTTTCCTTTATGTATCAAGTCTTCTTTTCTTCGACCAGAGAGTGATCGAAAACCTGCTGTGTTCAGCAGTGTTAGAGATTCATGGTTTATGCTCTCAACACCTTTAGAAGTTATCATTAGAAGAATTTTTTCATACAAAGAATAATCGCAGCACGAGTTTTTTCTATTAGGAGTTTTGAAATTTGGAGTTAATAAAAGTACTAGATAACAATAAAGTGTCCTCATTTATACGGCATTTGACAGAGAATATCTCGAAGCTATACCAAACATCGAAAAAATTTTGATTGTAACATTCTGAAAGAGGGGGGTGGTCTCATTAGGCCATTTCTTTAAGGGGCCCCTCAGAAAAGTCAATTTCGGTCAAATTTATCGATTTTGTGATTTATAACTCGTTAGATAGAGCAAAGTGTCTACTCTCGAATATACTATAGTTGATTGATTTTATGATAAGATTTAAGGATATTACATACGATTTTCTGAGCAGTCATATTGAAAAAATAAGATTTTTAAAAACTTATTTTCCGTTTTTTTCAAAATCCATTTTTTCGAGTATACTGTTTACGCGGGCAAACCTTACTCAATAACGACTCAATATAAAAGTGGTAATGCTTTTTTGTTGTAGAGCAGACACTTGGGGCTAGGTCGTAATAGAGCCCGATTTTCGAATTTCTCCTTTGTTTAAATAAAAAACTTACAAGGGAACCTTCCCAAGTGTCGGAGCGCTTTTCAGTCGGGGTTTCGCGCATCTTGTAGCCCATAGTGAGCTATGTCTGTAGTAAAAAGAGTTCGGGTTTCTGGCTTGTTTCTGAGGAGATATCGAGCTCTTAGTGAATTTTCTCTATTGTACGCCTACATTGGCAGCAAAGCTATACTTTCGAATTTTGACCTGAAACTTTGCCTGCATAAAGGTCTCAGCTAGACTAGTTTGCATAAAAAATTTCAGAAGTTTTGAATAAATTCTCTCTAAGATATGAAGCTTTGAAAAAAATGCATACTATATATATTATTGATGAAAAAGGGACTATACCTTGATAGTTTCATATCTTAGAGAGACTTTATTCAAAACTTCTGAAATTTTTTATGCAAACTAGTCTAGCTGAGGCCTTTATGCAGGCAAAGTTTCAGGTCAAAATTCGAAAGTATAGCTTTGCTGCCAATGTAGGCGTACAATAGAGAAAATTCACTAAGAGCTCGATATCTCCTCAGAAACAAGCCAGAAACCCGAACTTTTTTTACTACAGACATAGCTCACTATGGGCTACAAGATGCGCGAAACCCCGACTGAAAAGCGCTCCGACACTTGGGAAGGTTCCCTTGTTAGATCTTTTATTTTAATTAGCGATTTTTTTGTCCACGAATTTGAGAATTTTTCAAAAAGATTTTTTTAAAAACCAAACAAAGGGAAATTAAAAAATCGAGCTCTATTACGACCTGGCCCTATGGGTACTCTACAATTTAAAAACCACGCCGACATGCTAAGCTAGTATCCTCATGTTGAAAACCTTGCCCGCGTAAAGGGTATTTGTGATCAATTAATTGACTATAACTCGTGAATGGCTCGCAGATTTCGGGAGTTATTTTAACCATAATCTATTCTAGCCAAGACTAACATTCTTTGCAATTTTGGTTGAAATCGGATGAAAAATAACAAAGTTGATTTCTGAGGGGAGGGGGCCTTAATCTTTTCCATTATTTTTTATACGATGGCAGTAGAAATATGTCATGCTATTCGTTTATCCTTTTTTACATATTTTCTTATCAATGTTTAAGTTGAATTTTATTTTTGTATATACCCTGTCATCTCGTGATACTGTCCTGACTGATAACAGTGGTTCTGATATCACAAAATGATTCATCAAAATAAATATTTTCGTTTAACAACTTCTCATTAAAAACCATTTTTCGACGCATATGTCGTCTACTTGCTGTGTCACTTGCTTTCATATTATAATTATTGACTAATACTTTTCAGTATTGGCCAATTATAACTACTTGTACCTACTCAAGCAACTTTAATAAATATTAGAAATTGAATATTCATATAAATTATTTCAACATTTTGATTTTCGTGTTGTTCGCTCAAATTCATTGAAGTATACTTAATGATCAATATCAATAGACAAAGAAATAAAATGATCTGACACCAGTATACGATCATTTCATTTCAATAGTAAACAACAAATTTTAACGTATAGAACAAGATAACCTGAAAATGATGTACACGTCTGTATATGACTTCTTTTGTTCGTCCTCTTTCCGATTCAGTCGATTCGTTTTAGTGTGGCTCAGTATGTTTTACATCTTATTAAATATGTGTTACGTAAGTGATGCGCACTTCCATACATGTTCTGACATCAAATAATAAATTAATTTAATTAGCAATAAGTTCTATTACTCAAAATTAGGTACTTCAATTGACAATGTTGATTAAGGGTTTCCCACGCCTCTTTTTTCGTTATTTCTGACTCTCGAAAAGAACGCAACGAATTCGTATGAAATTTAGACCACACATAGAAGACCTAAAATTAGGAGACACATGTTCGAGGAAAAACTTTAGTTTTATATACAACGCGCACTTACGATTTTCGTCTGATTGTACCCAATTGGGCTGAAATTTTGATCACAGATATTTGGAAGTATTCTCCTGAGATGAAATCGGTAATCTTTGTTTGCAATCTTCCTATCTTGATTTGCAAAGCTCCAAACGGCAATACTCCGGTTTTGAATCTGAACATGTACAGATTTCTCTTAAAAGAACAGACAGTCAGATATTTTGAAAAGTGTTGAGTTACTTATGAAATATTGCCTAAGATATCTGAAAGAAAAAAATTCAACTCGATCGGACAAAAACGGGGATCGTATGAGATTTGGATATACTCGTATGAACAGCCAGAGTTTTTCCGAAAAAACTGCGAAGAACCTTGTTCAAAATTTTTTCCTCGGATTCGTATCGTCCTATTATAGATGCTGTTATTTTGGTAAAAGCTTCATAGAGATCGGTTGCATGTTCTTTTGGAACTAGAAATGGTCAAAAAAAGAGGGGGAAGGGATATTCTTAAGTCAATGAATATGTATTAACATATATTTTTAGTAATGAATATTATATTTTATCAAATGAAATTCAATATAAGAACGTGCCTGAAATAAAACAACAAAGACACTATTAGATAACTGTAGTATATTAGCTTTTTAAGAAATATTCTGAAAAGTGACATATGATAAATATTATAAGTCAGTTTTTTTCTCTTTAATTAATCGTATTTGATAGAAAAATTTTATACAATATTAAAACATCGCAGTCAATGTCAAAAAAAATCATAAAAGAATTCATTATTTCTAATTTTTTTGTCACGTATGTAACACAGTTAGGTTTTTTCTTTTTCTCGAATAGACAAGAAAATTTTTTTATTGAAATACATGCATGACATATATAAATATGAATTATGTTCACCTATATAAACTCTTTTTTTGACACGTTCTATTTTTCTTTGGAACTTTATTATTATAACAAAACTAGATAGTGTAAAAACAGAAAAAATCTCCAAGGAAAAGTGTTTGCTGAGTGTTTTTATTTTCTACTTTACTTCTGTCAGATGTTGTCTAATCATTAGAAAATTGTCATGTCATGTCATCGCTACTTCAAGCCGAAATCCGTTAGACAACAAATTAGTTCAA